CCTGTCCGTGCGCATCTGGGTTACGCCAAACTCCATCATCCGAGCGCTGCAGTTTCAACGTGGTTTTTGAGTAGGTGCTTTTGGCCTGGCACCTGTCCTGATATTTGATGTCTGGCACAGAGGCAGAGGGAGGACAGGCGAGGAAAGATTCGCTTCAATCTAACCTCGGATCAGAGCGAGCTGCCGCTGTTTAGCTGCCGCGCGCTGATTGGCTGAGGGGCACGTCCGTCTCAGTAATCCCAGGAAGTATGAAGCTAATGGGAGGGGCGTAAATGCAGGCTCATAGCTGTGTAACAATGTAATAGTGTATTACATAGCTGTAATACATGCTTGCTCACACAGGGTGCTTTGTCTTTTACAATGGGCTGTGTCATTTTAATACAGCCTAGCATTTGTATTTAAGGGCGGATTATTTTTTGTAAAAGTAGGATGAACATAGAAATAGAACATAGAATTATAATGATCCTCCTGTGGACTCACCACCTGCAGAGGGTCAGTGAGGGGCTGGTGCTATGAGACTTGGGAGGCATCTCTGACTGCCACCCCCCTGACCCAGAAATGGATTAAAGGGTAGAAGATGGATGGATGGATAATTTTACGCACTTTTAATAAAACTTGCAAGGGATTACTATTTGAATGCACTTTACAGGCTTCTTGAAGTCTTTCAAAGCACTGCACTGAAGTCATTATTCATTCACTCAGCACTTAGTGTTGACAGAGGTGAGACCACCAAACCAGAGCGCCTGTAGGAAACCCATCCATACACAGGGAGAGACATGCAGATTCCACACAGAAAGGCTCAGCTCAGACACTATTGAGCCCACGAGAATTAAGCCCTACCCCCTCACCACTGTATAGCTGTTCCTTGATTGTGTCCTGTGTAATTGAACATAACAATAAAGCAGTGCATATATCCTGCTCACACACTGTACTGGTCAGTAAACAGCATTATGAAATCTAAGGAGCAGTCAGGGATGACGTTGGGGCGTTTAGCGTAGATTGATTATGCATTTCCAATACTGTTTGATCTATAATCTGAATAAATATCTGATTATTATTTGATAATTGTCCTGAATTGTTGAGAAAGGGCAGGCTCCTTTTGTGGCACCGGCACCTGCCACAGCTGATCAGTGGCATGTACTCAACAAATGGCGTTTAAAACGGCATGTGGACAATAAATTGGTGTGTAAAACGGCATGTGGACAACAAGTGGCATTTAAAACGGCATGTGGGGAATAAATGGCGTCTAAAACGGCATGTGGGGAATAAATGGCGTGTAAAACGGCATGTGGACAACAAATACAGTTGAAAGCAGCCTGTACAAAAGACAACAAGCAGCATCAGTGGAGATAGTGGTCCAGTGGCTCAGATGGAAAAGTACAGGTTTGCGATTCTGATGGTTGCTAGTTCAAATCCCCAGTGACTACCAATGACATTTGCTGATATTGGGTCCCTGGGCATAACGTCAGAAGTGCCATATGTTGTTTGGGTAATAATAAGTTATTGCATAAATTTGTTCAAAGACTTAATTTCATGTATGATATATCGTTTACATTTCCAAAAACTGAACATGCCAGTGGCAGACTTGGTTTATAACTGTCTCTCATGCGGAAGACTCCTGGATCAAATCTAGATATTGTCTTTTTTTTCAAATTAAATACATTTTTTTGTCAAATTAAATACAACAAACCAGAGCGCCTGTAGGAAACCCATCCATACACAGGGAGAGACATGCAGATTCCACACAGAAAGGCTCAGCTCAGACAATATTGAGCCCACGAGAATTGAGCCCTACCCCCTCACCACTGTATAGCTGTTCCTTGATTGTGTCCTGTGTAATTGAACATAACAATAAAGCAGTGCATATATCCTGCTCACACACTGTACTGGTCAGTAAACAGCATTATGAAATCTAAGGAGCAGTCAGGGATGACGTCGGGGCGTGTAGCGTAGATTGATTATGCATTTCCAATACTGTTTGATCTATAATCTGATTAAATATCTGATTATTATCTGATAATTGTCCTGAATTTGTTGTGGAGAAAAATAATTTTCCCATTTTCAGTTTTACTTTTGTAATGCGCTGGAAATAGCAGCAAGTCCTATGTAGTTCTGAAACAGTTATTGTTTTCTCCTTTGTAATTGTTTTGTTTTTTTCTTGCTTTCTTCTACTTGAGATGGTGCAGCAGTACAGTGTTCATGGTTTTGCTCTGATCCAGACCAGAGCAGAAAGGATTCATGCTCCGAAAACAGGTAAGGTAAAGGTGCACTTTATTGATCCCCGTAGGGCAATCCATCCTCTGCATTTGACCCATCCTGATGCTGCTAAGGCTTGCGTCAGGAGCAGTGGTCGCTGTAGTATAGCGCCCGGGAACCTCTCTCCAGATGTCGACCCCGTTCCGGTCGGGTTACGAACCCAGGGCCTTCATGCTGAGAGGCGCTATCCACTCAGCCACCAAGCGGCTCAGGTAAAAATTCACTTGAGGAATGCTAATGTTTTGAAAAATGCTATAAAAGCATTCAGCATCTCATTTTGGACTAGAGCAGAGAAAAACTTCTGCTCTTGTGACCAGTCCTGCTCCACCCAAAGGCTACTCCACCTCTGCTGCTGTGACTTTAAGTGCTGTTGAATTTTAATACTATTGTTGCTATTTATAGAATTATCTATTTATTTGTTTTGTTTGTATGAATGGATGTGTTTCTGCTGTTAGGGGAGCAGAGCATCCTTGCCCCTTTCTGAGCATGTTCTTCCTGTGTTTGAGTAGGTTTCCTTTGGGTGGCTCTGATTTTCCATCCATCCATTTTCTACCCCTTAATCCATTTCTGGGTCGGGGGAGGGGGTGGCCAGAGATGCCAAACAGTACACATGGCACCAGTCAGCGGGGACTTCAGGCAAAGTGGGGTTAAGTGTCTTGCCCAAGGACACAACGACAGCAGACACCAGTAGGAGTCGGTGGAGAAGGTCCCATGGTGGGCTCGAACCCAACAGTCTTGAATTAGTTGCTAGAGATGCTTAGCACTTGTTGGCCCTCTGTGGTCTAGCGGTGATTTAATATGTTTGTTTTTTCAGCATTATTCACGCATGAGTTCCCCTCATGCACTAGGTCAGGAATTATATCACAACTTCAGTAAAACTTGTATAGTTCGGAAAGCATGCCCCAGTAGTCTTTTGGGGAGTAGCTTGATGCCAAGTTCTGGGCTCACTGTACAAAATGTAAGCGCTCAATATGATTTATTTCATCACACTGTGCACCCCTTGTTTTTAGGTCGTGATCACTTCTAGATACTGGGAAGTCTGCCCAGTGTCCTTGCTTCCGTGATCTCAGCGTTCTGAATTTGGGTGTGACAAAAGGTACATTTTGCTTTCCTGCATCACTCATTCTGCGCTGAATGTGAATGAGAAGACTCAATATTTATGTCACTATAGCATAAAACTGTCCGGATGCTGTCTCTACACTGTCACTGGAGTAGACAAAGGCCCATCTATGGTTTGTATAAATAGTGATTAGGGCAAGATAACCTTAAGATAAGCAGGCCTAAATGTGACAGTGACACCTCAATTACAGCATGATCTGATGTTCTAATTGGAGCCAAGACATTCACATCAGAAAACATTTCAGAGGTATTAGTAAGTGCCAGGTCAATTATGGACGGTGTTCCAGGGACTTTCTCTGGGAATTGGTGAGACAAGACAGGTCTTGTTCTGTTGGAACATTGTTCTGTTTCTAAACATTGTTTATCAGTTTTGTCGGGCCACAAATTTGGAATTATGCACATTGAAGTCCACAATTATTTTAGTACAAAAATGGTAACTAATTGTGTCATTTTCTAATGCATCTTCCAGAAATAAACAGATTAACATAATCCAAATCATTTGGATGTTGCAGTTTGCGATAAACAATTGTTTTCTCTTATTACTTTGGTAATTTGTCAAAAACAACAACAGCATCCTTTTAACATACAAACATAAAGTGACAAAGACACCCAAAAGCGTTTATATTCATAATATTTATTATTATAAAATAATAATAATTCTCTACTGCTTTAGAATATTTTTTGTGTCATCGGATTTTGAATTTTGAATTAGCTTGAATTTTTTTTACCATGAAAATGAAAATGAATTGAATATTTTTGTCCTGGCATTTCCGCCACAAAAATCTAAATCTTCCATATTCCAGGCAGATAATTTCTCCCAAAAAATAAATAGACAGTTGTTATAGGCTTTGCGATTCAATGATTATTAGGGGGAAAAGTATATTGCAAAACAGAAAGAGTGTGACTTTCTGTATTGTATTCAATAGGGCTGAACAATGCTGCCATCTGCTGATCATGACGTAGCACTTACATACCCTGTCTCATTAAACAACACAAAAAAAACTTTATGAACGGAATAATCTTGCTGCAAACATGATTATGTTGTATTATTACTAAGTCTACATCATTGGCAGAACAAAAAAAATGTTTTGTGTTTTTTTCTATTCTCTATAGCTGTGTAAAGTGTCAAGCGTCACACCTTTATTTTGTACATAGGCCTATATAGGCTCAATAGACAAAAGAATACTGGAACAATACGCAAAAGTGATGGTCTTGTATGAAAACATGCACACATTGTAATTTACCTTCATATTTCGCTACATGTTGCACGCGTCACAGTCCTTTTTCAGCGCGTGTTGCCGGTCTCTGTTACGCAGAGTCTGGCCATGTGGGGGCGCTCTCGCAGCACTTGCCCTCTCTTTGGAGCGGCGCGTTACAGCCAGGTGCCGTGGGGCTATTTAACCGCGGCTCAGTCTCGTCACTCTGCTCTCCAACTGGCTCCAGTGCGCACGGATCCACAGCCTCGATGCGCGATGTAACTTTGGCTTCACCAATTTTCTTAAGCGCGCAGAGTGATCAGTGATCCCACTTTTCCCAACTTTGCAACCGATGACCATTTCCTTGGGATTGTGCCAAGTGCGTAATTTTAGTTTCTATTTTAAGTTCCTCAACAGAAAAAACTGGATATGAATATCACGGGCTTTAACCAAACGGACGCAGGTCTGTTCAACAAAACAGACGAGATTTTCTGCTGTAACTTTTCCTCCGTGGTGACTGACAATGGCTTTGTTGCGGCCGCTCCGGATGAGAGAAGCCTTTTCGTCATGCGTGTGGTCCAGATCGCCGTCATGTGCGTCCTCTCCCTAACCGTGGTGTTTGGCATTTTCTTTCTGGGCTGCAACCTGCTCATAAAGTCTGAAGGGATGATAAACTTTCTGGTAGCGGACAGAAGACCGTCCAAAGAGGCGGAGGCGGTAATAGTCGGGGCGTACTGATGGACACGGACCTTTACGCGCGCGGACGGTTTGATGGAGAGCAGCGGGTGACAGATAAATCCACTTTGCGCTGCGTAAAGACAGCAGTGTTTTTTCACATGTGTACTTAGACGTACGTCAGGCACTCACCATGCAACAGTCAAAGCTGCTGTCTCAAGTATATTTCCACTGGCTTTTAATGCCACACTCGTCTCCAAGAGGTAGAGTGCATTTTAAACCTCTTTGTTTATACTCATGCACTGTCGTAACGAGTTCAGTGGATGTAGCCTGTCATATTGGTGACATTGCCCCCAAACAGTATTGGCTGCTTGTAACTCTACTATTGCTAATGCAATGGGGAATTTGTATTGTTGAACTTGTACTGTGTGTTGTATGTGTTTTTGCATACGGCATACAATAATATTTATTGCCTATGTATTTCTAAATGGATATATTACTGTTCGCATGATGTCGAACACATACTGTCATGTAATCCTGTTACTGGAATAAAGGCATAAAGTACTTACAGTTTTCGTGTTTGTTTGACTTCAACTAACTAAGCAACTGAGATCCCAGAAAAAAAACAATAAAACCAACACTCACCTGTGACTCAGTGCTAAACACAAGATTTAATTATGTACATTTGAAGATGTGTGTTGCTTTAAATAAGGTACTTCAACATGATCAAAGTTCATTTGGAAATGGGTTCAACATACTAATTACATTCCAAATTATACTGTTACATCCAAACCCACAAAATAATAAGCTGTTCAGACTCTTTTGAGAATTTTGTGTTTACGTTTCCCAACCTATACTATATGTCACCAGACACTTAGACTAATTGGAGTAAAAGGTCTTTGTTATGAGATGGGAGCTTTGAGTTTAATCCTATGGGACCTGTCTTATTCAACCTGCTCAAAATATCAGGCCATTCACTGACCTGACGAAAGATCCCAGTGAGATACAGGCAGTTAAATAAAAGCACTGTGGTTAATTTAAAGTCACCATTTATGCGTGATGTAACCTCAACACATTTGTTCCTGCATGTGTGTGTGTGTGTGTGTGTGTGTGCGTCTCCATCTCCTTACTTGCAGACACATCTCTCAGCTCAGGGAGAGGCCTGTCACTGGGGCAATATGCTGCGTGTGATGGCCCACCTGTGCTCCACTTATCATCAGGCTAAACGCTCCAGACACCACACTGCTCTGCTCCTCACCTGTATGAAAATGCAATATTATCAGTCGTCTCTTGTAGAAAGGCATTGTTCAAAACAGTGCTGAAAAAACACTATGGTCAAATCCATTATATGCAGTGTTTGTAAATCTTCTTTTTGCCATTGTATTCCACAAATTGGCAAGGTCTATAGAGACAAATTTGTAGTTGTGTCACAATAAGACAAAGATAAGTATTGAACTAAATAATATCGAACCTCATGAAACAAATAATGTCATGCCAATGACAAAATAACTGAAGTATGATGAAAATGCCACCACAAAACAAACCAATAATTTGTCATAGATATGATAATTATCCATAGAAGTAACGTATGGCGCCCTAAGCAAAAATCTAACTGCATTTTACAGGAAGGTCAACTGTGAGTTGCAACAGTCAAATTTATATGACAAAAAGTCTTCTTTTTTCATCCAAAACGTCTCTCAAAATGTACAAATATATACAAAATAGTGTTGCAGCTAAATGTATTATGAATTTAAAGTTGAAACAGTAATTATGTGGACGGGCTCACAAACAAACGACAACACCAAACCTTATCTTTGAGGTCTTTAATGAGCTCGTAATAGAATAAAAGGTAACTTTGAAAAAAACAATATTATCTGACATTAAATGATTAATTGGTATATTTGTTTTTTTATAGCACTATGTTGAAATGTTAAATAGGCCAATCCTTTTTATGTTTATTTTTGCTCAGGCTGTGCATAAGAGTTATGGGGATGAAATTCAGAATGGCGTTTCCTAAATCCAAAAGATGTACCTGAGTTTTGTTGAGTGGTACTGAAGTTTTATGGTGCGGCTGTAAAAAAAAGGAAAAAAAAATCCAATTATAGAACTTAATGTTTATCATTTGCTGGTCTGCTGATCGCTGTCCTGCATTCGGTTGAATTATGTTGGCAATGTAAAAGGAGTGCCACTGTTTTAAGGAGTGGAGTAGTGGCCTGAGAATAAAGCAGCCAAGCTCAATTTTCATTTTTTTGTCTCATAAACATTATATTGGTATTTCATTTATGAATTAAAATAGTGTTGAAAGATAATTTAGCAGGAGTCTGAACGGCAAAACAGGCCAAACGCCAGCGTCAAATTACAACCTACAATTCAATCCAACATTCAAATGAAATGAACACGACTTAACTGCAGAAAGGTTCACAACTAATTTGAACATTTTTATAGTCATTTGGACCAGAGTTTTAATCTAGATTTGATCACTTCTAGATTCTTTCATTAAGAGTTTATTTTCTAGAACTGTTGGTCTTTGGTCGATGAATTGATCCATGCATCCATACCAATTATGTGCTGGTCGACTCTACGTAATTTCTGTAACTAAAATTGTTCTAGTTCCTTGGACCCTGCAGCTTATATAGCGATGCGGCCAATATGTGTATTTTTTATTGTGGTAAAGTTGTCTGAGCAGAGTTTAAGGACTATTTTGACTCCCTTAAGTTTTAGTAGCAACAGGGCACTCGTTTATTTTAAAATGACTGGTGAATGAGTATCAACATGGAAGCGGGTAAGATGTTAAATACCTTGTCATTAAATCATGTTGTTACCAGTGAAAACAGTCGTCTATCTGCTACATTACAACATGAAAACCTGTGGCTTATATTCAAGTGCAGCCTATATGTCGTTTATCTAAAAATATTGCTGGTGCAGCTTACATACTGCTGCGTCTAATAGTCCAGAAAGTACTGTAATTGTTTTAATTAATTAATAAAAACATGAAAACGTGAAATTATATAGAACAATTTGTATTTTATTTAGTCTTTAGGAGAGAGAATTTCTTTTTTCGGATACTGATGCTGGTTTTGACAGACTGTCCCTTTGTCGGCCTATCAACCGGATGTCTCGTATGAAAGTCAAAACCCTGGTCCAAATGGCTATTTTTTTAAACTATACTCAGCTCATGTTTCACTCTAGAGAAATGCTTCTGTCATAACAATAACTGAACCCAACTGTACATCAGCGACAAAGGAGTGCAATCCCTCAACCCTTGATTGTGCAACAGTGATCCACCGCAGAGCAGGTTTCAAAATCAGTGATTTGAACCGACGTTTTGACTTCAATCCAAGCAATACCATCTCAGGAAGCTGTTACAGAATCTATTGATTAAATTGAGTTTTTGTCTGAGTTTGCTTCTCTCTCTCAGCAGCACATTTTAAAATTTCATCCATCCATCCATCCATTTTCTTCCCCTTAATCCATTTCTGGGTTATCCTGCATACTATACTGATCCTTCTGCAGGGGGTGATTCCACAGGAGCCTTGATTGTTCAGTGGGGGCTTCAGGCGGAGTGGGGTTAAGTGTCTTGCCCAAGGACACAACGACAGCAGATATCAGTGGGAGTTTAAAATTCAAGTCCTCAAACCAGTTTTTCAGACCTGACAATTCAGATCTGATAGAAGTTTACAAATAGATGCATAAAACATACAATACACACTTTGTTTTAGCTCAAAAGCAAATAATACAACTGTCTCTTCTGTGTTTCCCGAGCCTTTATTGATAACTAATCCATATTTACTTTTTCTATAATAAACTGGGTTAGCAACAGGGCTAAATGCAGACACAATAAACACGGACTTTAAATATCACTTTAGAAGAATAGAAGCGTATAGACTGTTAACTATTTTAAGTCATGGCCCCAGACTGAATTAACTTCCGAATGTAGCACTGCATGTTTCTGCGCTTACTGTGATTGCTTTCATTAGAGACTGCTGGGAATAGCGCCAAGAAAAATATAGAACCAGTTTATTATCCAACAGAGAGAGAACTTCCAGAGGACATAGCAAGATATCCATTTTATAGACTGGGATTTTGATATGATGTTGTATTTGTATTCATAAGAAAATAAAGAGAATTTTTATGATAAATTGGAGTCAGGTATAAAGAGTTTTAGGTTCAGCGTAACAAAAAAATAGCATGAGCCAGATTTAAAAACAAATTCAAGTTAGAAATGGCCACACATAAATAACTACAACAGATTAGCGTAATAAAGAAGACATAAAATACAGTGTAGATGAATTATTTAGGAGTGTTAATCAATCATTGGAAACAAAACATTCTGTGTGACAAATTCTCAGAACATCCAAATTGTGATTCAGTGTGGTCTGTTTTACTTGTCATACAACTTCAATCAATCTGTTATTATTGATGGTAGCTCCATGGATGGACTAACATATTCTTGCCTATAGAGAAATTGAGTGTTGGGTGTCTTCTAAACAAAGATAATACTTGAAACAACTTTAATAGGTATTTCCAAATATTGCACTTTTGTCTGTTAATGATCCTTATACTTATTGTACTCGTTTTATCGCTTTACAGATCTTAAATAGCTTAATAAAAGGACGTTCCACAGAAATCGGTATTAAAAACTGCCGAGATGTTTTGACTGCCTCTTTATGGTTCTAATGTATCCGCACATCAAAGGGTCAACAGGAGCATCACCTCGGCATTTCCACGGTGCCAAAATGCCTGCATAGCAAAGATGAATATTATGTGTATCACAAAAAGGGGAAGTAAAAAAAAAAAATCCTCAAAGTTGTCAAAAAACACTGACATATCCAAGTGGCAGAGAGGAGACAGGCAGAACTATGGCGTCTTAAATGTGTGACAATTTAAAGTTGGGGTATCTAACCTCTTTTCATTAAACAATGGATTTTGTTTGACCTGAGACAAAAAGAATCCTGGAAAAGTTGAATGTGAACAAATCAGACTGCAACACGCTGTCTATTGTTGTATCGTTACAATTTATTTATGCTGTTCATTAGAGAAAATTTTACATACTTATAAGAAAG